CACTTGTTATGAAGTACAGTGTCCAGTTTTGAATTCAATTGAATTGGATTAACTTTATGTTTTGGTCCTTGCATATGGCAATTGATATTGCAACTCTGGAGAGGATGCAGAGTAGGTAGCCACATTGTTGCTCATCTTTCAAATATTTTGTTTAAAAAATACTTCTCTAAAATTTAGGCTTATTTAGTTCAAGGGAACTTGGGAAAAGATATAAAAGAAGATTTTTAAGCTAAAGGATTCTGCTCAGGTCAATAGTTTATTTAAAATGGAAGAAGAATATAAAACAAGATTTATGCCTGCAAACTTCATGAAGGATTAGCAGAGTCATTACACTGTGGATTGAAACATAGCAACATGAATACTAACATCATAACATGAGAAACAGGGCCAGGAACAGGCAATCCAGTCCATTGAGCAGCCTCTACCATTCAATAAGATCATGATTTTAACTCCAATTTCCTGCTTGTCCTTCATAAAATTTGAATTCTCTTGTCAATCAAAAGTCTGTCAGATTCAGCCTTGAATATTTTCAAAGACCGAGCTACAACTATTTTCCGTGGAAGTGAATTCCAAAGAATAATGACCCTCTGAGGAAAGAAATTCTTGCTTATTTTTGTTTTAAATGTGAGGAACCTTATTTTAAAACTGTGCTCCCTAATTCTAGATTCCTCATCAAGATAAAACATTCACTCAGCACCTATCCAGCCAAGCTCCTGCAGAATCTTATATGTTTCAATAAGATCATCTCCCATTTCTTAGACTCCAATGAGTATAGGATGAACCTGCTCAACTTGTCAAAAGATTAACACGTCATCACAGGGATCAGACTAATGAACATTCACTGAGCTGCTTTCAGTGCAAAAATATCCCTCCTTAAGTAAAATGAACAAAACTATACAGAGTACTCCAGATGTGCTAGTCCATTCACTTGCAGCAACATTTCTCCAATTTATACTTCATTCCTCTGCAATAAAAGGGATAATTATATTTGCTTTCCTAATTATGTGTTGTACCTGCATGATGATGCTTTTGTGATTCATGAACAAGGAGGTCCAAATCCCTCTGTACTGCAGCATTTTGCCATTTTTCTCCATTTAAATAACATTCTGTTTTTCTGTTCTTCCTGCTAACTTGCATAATTCCCATTATATTTCATCTACTAATTTTTTCAAATTTGTTCATCACTGCTGGGCTATTGTTGCTTTGGTTAGCAATTATTGCCCTCAAGAACGTGGTTCTGAACCGTCTTTTTGAACTTCTACAGTCCCGTGCTGTAGTTGTAAGGGGTAGTGCCAGAGGGAGGCTTTGGGGAGTCAGGAGCTGCATACTTGCCACAGGAATCCTAGCCCCGATCTGCTGTTGTACATATTTGAGGCTCCAGTGCTGACCTATGTAACAATCCACTACTTACAGTTTCCAAATTGAAAAAGACCCATGTATCTTAAATCTCAATTTGTTGTTAGTTACCCAATCCACTATCCATGCTCATAAATCACCCTCAAGCCCATTAACTCTTAATGTTGCGCAGCAACATTTTTTGTGGCACCTTATCCAATGCCATTTGAAAATCCAAATGCGTTACATCTACAGGTCCCCCTTTATCTACCTTATCTGTTATATGTGAACATAACAGGTTTGAATTTACATTCAGTTTGAGGGAGAGAAGGAAGAGTACAAGATGAGCATTTTATATTTAAAGAAAAGTCTGAAGGCAGAGTTAGCTAAAGTGAAGCAGCAAACTAGAGTAAGTGACAGGTCAATAGAGATGGAGTGGCAGATATTTAACGGGATAGTTCACAATTCATGGAATAGATACGTTTTAGAGAAAGAAAAAGTCCAAGGGGAGGATACACCAGCTAAAAATATTAAAGTTAGAATCAAACATCAAATGAAGAATATAATTGCACAAAGGTGGTTGGCAGGTCAGGGAATTGGGCAGAATATAAAGGACAGCAAAGAATGATTAGAAGATTAACAAGGATGGAGAAACAATTGAGTGAGAGAAAGCTAGCTATAAATATAAAAATCTGACTGTAAGAGTTTCTATAGATATTATAGAAAAGTTAACGAATGAATGTTGGTCCAATAGGAAATGAGACTAAAGAGGTAATAAGAGAAAATAAGAAGATGCCAGATAAATGAACAGACATTTTGCATCCATCTTCACTCCAGAGAACACAAGTAACATCCTGGAAACAGCTGTAAATCACAAAATGGAAGGGAGAGGGGAACTCAAGAAAATTACAATCATCAGGGAAATTATACTGAGCGAATCGTTGGAACTGTGGACTGACAAGTCCTAGGTACTGGTGGATTTTATCCTAAGCCCTTAAAACATTTGATTAATGAGATAATTGATGCATTCATCCGAATTTTCCAAAACTTCCTAAATTCAGGTCCCATTATATTGGAAGATTGCTCATGTAAATCATTTATTCAAAAGGGTGACAGAAAGAAGGGAACAACAAGCCAAATTTCTGTCATAGCAAAAAATATTAGAAGCTATGATTAAAGACATTATAGTCAGGCATACAGATAAATGTAAAGTAGTCAGACAGATTCATTGTGGTTTTATGAAAGGCAAATCACACTTAACCAATTTATCTGAGTTCTTTGCAGAAGCAAGATATGCTTTTGATATAAGGGAACCAGTCAACTAACACCTGGAATGGGTGGGTTGACATATGAGGAAGGTTTGGACAGGCTAGGCATGTATCTGCTGGAGTTTGGAAGAGCAACTTGATTGAAACATAAAATTCTGAAGAGTCTTGACAGGTTGAATGTGGAAAGGATTTTTCCTCTTGTGGATGAATCTAGAATTAGGGATTATCATTTAAAAAGGTGTTGCCTATTTAAAACAAACATGAGGAGAAGATTATTTTCAAGGGCATCATGAATCTTTGGAACTGTCTTGTCCAAAAGTGTGGTGGAAACAGTCTTTGAATATTTTTAAAGCGGAATTAGATAAATTTTGATAAACAAGGAGGTAAAAGGTTATTGGCGGTAGGAATGTGGAGTCATCAGATCAGCCCTGAGCAGGCTTGGGGGGTTGAAAGGCCTACTCCTGCTCCTAATTTGTATGTTCATACGTACATTTGAAGACTGATAAATCTGTCAAACACATCTTCCCTCTTACAATTCACTCATTCACACATTCACTCTGACTGCAAGATGATTTTCCAAATATCTTGCTTATCTCCCTAATAACAGATTCTGGCACTTAAGGAATGACAGATCTTAGATATTTTGGGCAATAATTTCCAGCTTTTTGTCTCCATTCTTTCTGAAATAGTGGTATTACAGTTACAGTTTACCAATCTGCTGGGACCATTCCAGAACAACAGAAAGTTTGAAAGACAACCAATGCTTCCACTATCTCTGTAGCTACTTCCTTTTAGGATGCTAGCCATTGGGACTAGTGGACTTGACAGTCCATGGTCACAATAATTTGCCTTGTACATTTTTTGTGTTGATCATGTTATTTTACATCATTCCTTCATTTGCCCCTTAGTTTCTTTGTACTTCTATTTTCTGCTGTTAAGACAGATACAAAATATGACAAGTCATTGCAGTTCTTTAAATGGTCAATTGTAACTATGATGTGCAAGGGCTATCATGATTTCCCAATGCGTTGAAAAGACTTTTGCTCATATGGCCACAGGTTTGTTTTTTTTTGCCCTTCCTGGACATAGAATGGTTGACAGTAAGGTGTGCATGAGAGTAGACGAAAGGAGGGACAGATTTTACGCTTTGTTGTTATCTTTTTCTTATATTTTCATACCAGTTAATGAGTTAGTTTAGAAGGTCATGATAATTCATGTTGTTAAATAGGTTTTTTATTCTGAGATTGGTGTTAATGCAGCGCTTAGAGAAAATTGTATTTCACTTTGTGTCCAATCCATAATATACCTGACTCAGGAATGCTTGACGTGACGGCTCAGTGACAAACTAGATGAGTGTTCCATTCCCCAATAGATATTTCTCACTTTGACAGAAAATATATACGTTTCAAAATTAACATTCCAGATGAATGCCTTACACTTCCAGAAATTCAGTAGCTTGAGACATGACTCATTTTAGTCCCATTTCCCATATTCAGAACACTGCTGTGAATTCATAGGCTTAAATCAATAGTAAAGAATGGCAAATAAATATTGTCATTTCTAACAGTTTGATGTACTTTTTTATATTCTGAGCTGTACATATATTTCAAGATATACAAACTAAGTCCAGATCAAAGTACATAATTGGATAGATGCTGGACTGGAATTATTCTATTCAATTCTAAATTTATACATGGAATGATATTCAAATAACCTTATGCCTGAGGCATCATCACAAGATGTACATCAGCACTGAAATCTAAAACCATCAGAATCATGATGCTAATTCAATTATCTTCTACTGTAAAGGTCACAGGCCAATACGAACCCAAGTTTGATCAAAATAATCAGAAGTCAATCCAGACTGAACAAGTAAACAAACACTGGCTTTCAGTACTGAGACCTAACAGGAACTGCTTGATCATGAACATCATCAAGGTCTGCTAGTGTCACTGAACAAAAAGAAAAAAAAGGCGATGGTGATTCGAGAGAGTAAGATCTATTAATAAGCTTTATCATTCCTTTCCAAAGAAAAACTTAACGTATGCTTGTCAAAAGAAAGTACAACGGGAAACAGATATTGAAAAATGTTGGAAAATATGTTGCACTTTGAAAATCTATTACTACTAGAGACTGCCTTCATGCGATTGTCTGAAGAGGAGATTTATACAATCCAAAGGTACTGTAATGCCACGGTTACATCAAAGGATTTGTTTGGCTAACAACGAGTACTTTAATTTGCAATTGAAACATCGCAGTTAACCGAAAACTATGAACCTGTTAGAAGTGTACTTTTTGATGCAAACACATCACGGTTATTAGAGATACTATTAAGAACAATTCAAAAGACCGAATCGTAGAGCTACAGTTATTAATGTTTTAAGAATAAAAACTCACCCCATATCATCACGATTAAGTGAATAGGAAGGTAGTTCATTTTTTTAACTGATTCCTAGCTTCCAATTGTTTAAACAACGCCTCTGTTTATAATCAGATTACAGCTCGGTCCCTCTCACTCGCGCTCTTTAATCCTAAATCATTGAAGATTCCGGCTTCAGTGCCTCGATGTTGTGAGCCGTTACTGGAGACACGGAAATCGCAGGAGTTGGAAGGTACTAAGCATCAGTTGTCTCTGCAGTAAGTAATGGTCTGCTCTCCAGGTGAGGGCTGGGTTTGGCCGAGGTGTGTTCACGGCTCCTCACACCCTCTTTCCAGCCCTCAGCTCCTCACTTCATTCGAGCAGCTGCTCCGTTGGGCTGGGAACACACAAACACTCCGATAATAGGCTGGAGTGCTATGGTTTGAATGATGGGATCCGCCCAGGAGCTGGGAGATAGCGATCCAATTACCACTGGGGCTGGAGCTTGACGTCAAAGAGTGGGTGGAAATGTGGGCAGCCCAAACCCTGAGAAAAGAGCGAGTGGAAAAGATCAGAATCACTGAATAGTAAGGGAGGAACGAGGAGAAACAGAACAAAGAGTCATGGAGAAGCCATGAAACAAAACCGAATGGGAAAAGCGGGTAAACGTAGAAGGGAGGGAGGACCAGAATTCTCACACCAGAGGAACAAAGGGAATATGAACGCAATATGGAGCACTGCTTTCTAAAACAATTGCTGAATGGAGAATAACAACTGACAATACCTTCGCTGACGCTACGTATTAGATCTGAACTACATTTAATCCTTTTCCAAAGCTTTTCAAATAATAATGTGAGACCTTATTGTGCGGAAAGTACAGCGAATAGTAAATACCATGGATAGGCAGATAATTCCTTAAACCACCCGCTTCGCCTAGACAGATACATTGATCCCTCTGCCTGATTTTATATAACATGAAAAACTCTACTTTTAGGAGTAGTCTTAACCAAAATTGGACAATACCTGAAACTGCTTAACCCTTAACACAGCCCCCTGTGTGGATGTGAAACAAAAAAAAACGGAAATTGCTGGCGAAACTCAACAGTTCTGACAGCATCTGTGAGAAGAAATTAGAGTTAGTGTTTCGACTCCGGTTTTGCTGCAGAGCCACCGGACTCGAAATGTTAACTCTGCTTTCCCCCCACAGAAGCCGCCAGACCTGCTGAGTTCCACCAACAGTTTTTGTCTTTTCTGATCAGCAGTTGTTTAAATGTGTTGGTCCCAGGTAAGAACAGTCCTTTGAAAATTTGTACATCTCACATTGGGACTGTGTTCACTTGATTAATCTCGGATGAGATAGTGAGAGTGCAGGACATTAGGGCTTTCCACAAGAGTTTGAGTTTTGAAAATTCGAAGGAGCTTTAAAAAAGTTTCCTGAAATGTAAATTGAGCAGTCATTTCCTTTTCACACTTAAAGATAATACATTTTGTCTTCTCACTAAATAAAAACCAAAAGAACTGCGGATGCTGTTAATCAGGAACAAAAACAAAATTGCTGGAGAAGCTCTACAGGTCTGGCAGCATCTGTGAAGGGAAAAACAGAGTTAACATTTCGGGTCTGGTGACCCTTCCTCAGAACCAGACCCGAAGTCAGGCGAAAACAATGAAACGAGTGCACACACCAATATCCCACCTACCCCTTCCCACAACCACCACCTGCCCCAAGTGTAACAGGGCCTGCAATCCGCAGCAGTCTGTACAGCCACATACAGACTCACGCTGAGAGTGGAAGAGGGTCAACCTCGCCTGTGAGGTACTGCCAGTGATGATGATGGGGACTTATTATTAATGTCACTTAGGCACAGAATAACTTTTCATCACTGTGAAAAAAATCATGATCCATTGTCTATCCATTTTTCTGGCTGCTTTTGGATTCCAGATGGAAGAGCAACACGAAATACATGTACCTGATCTCTTCTAGTCTGTTGGGAAAATATTCCATGAGGACTTTGTGGTATATAGCCATCTCATGTTCTCTAGCAGTCCACTGTTCAAAGGATTCTGTTGCATATTGTGTCATGGAAGGGTTCAGATAGGATTCAGATCTTTTGTTGGGTTAGTTTTAGTTAACTGTTTCTAAATCTTGTTTTAAATATGTCATTTTGTATTTATGTTGCCTTGTTGGCTTTATTGTAAATGGAAGAATTGGGTAAACAGGACAACCAAGCATTCATTCCTTCCATTAGTCTCAAATGTTACTAATATTCCTGACAGATTTTTTTTTTGAAATCTTTTACCTGTCTTCCCAGAAAGTAGAAGGAAAGATACTTTAAAAGCAGAATTGTAAAACTAAATAGAGTGGAAAGATTGCTGTTGGTAGGGGAGGTGATGGCCTAGTGGTATTATCACTGGGCAGTTAATCCAGATAATGTTCTGGGGTCCTGGGTTTGAGTCCCACCATGGCAGATGGTGGAATTTGAATTCAATAAATATCTGGAATTAAGAATCTAATGATGACCACCATGAATCTGTCATCAATTGTTGGGGGAAAAACCCATCTGGTTCACTAAAGTCCTTTAGGGAAGGAAACTGTCATCCTTACCTGGTCTGGCCTATATGTGACTCCAGACCCACAGCAATGTGGTTGATTAACTGCCCTCTGGGCAATTAGAGATGCCCAGCCAGCAACACTCACATCCCATGAATGAATAAAGGAAAAAAAGAGGCCTCCACCTCTTTTACATACTTCTTGAAATTTTAGAAAAGCGCTGGAGAAAGAAAAATTTTATGTTAGCTTAGCAAATACACAATATGGCCTTATACTGAACCATTTAAAAAGCAGTCAACATTCCATTGCCAATAACATGTCAGTGACATCAGTTAGAATTCTAATGAATCCTGCAGAACACGCCACATGTGGAATTGTTGAATGAAAGAAGGAATGGCATTGCTCAATGTTAAATAGACAGCTAACTCTCACAATGCTAGCTTGCATATGATAAGTGGCCACTGGGCTACGTTCACACAGAAATTAGAACTGTGGAACTCCCCCTATCTAAATTGATGCTAGAAGGAGAGAAAAAGCAGGAAAATTAGGGAACAATCATATAAAGGGAGTAGGCATGTCAATAAGATAGCAGTTTCAACCGGTCAAACTTGAATCCAGCCCTGATTGGAAATTTGTCTTCCCCAACAGCTATACATGTTCGTAATCTTGATCCATCATTAATCAGTCATAAATGCACTGCTTAAACTTGACAAGAAATGACATTAACTCAGCAATCTCATTTGAAAAAGCCATTGAATCATTGATGTGGAAAATAGAATTTCACATTGGGACAGGAGGAGGTACTTTTAAAAAATGCTTTTTTTGGATAGTTTTAAGGGATTTTTAGCTGGATCTTCTCTGTGGCAAATACTTTTTTTATGCTAATGTTAGGAGAGAATCATAGCCACATGTTCCACTTCTAAAACGAAACATCATTTACCTCACCAGAAAAGAGAAATTCACCACCAAGCCAAACAATTTTGCCAAGTTTACTGAGGTATCATCTGGTAGATTCCGTGCAATTTCAGTGCTACTACCAATATTCATGAGCTACACCATTCTGTTGTTTTTAACAATCTTGTGAAATAGCTTAAACTATACACATTTAGTCATTTCAGTGTAAATCAGCTATGATGGACCTACTGGTACAGTCTTCTTATATGAGTTTGTAAGTTCCTCAAGTGTGTAGCAATGCCATACAATTCTGAAGAAAACCCATATTGGACTCAAAACATTAACATTGTTTCTGTTTTCAAAGATGCTGCCAGACCTGCAAAGTTTCTATAGTGTTTTCTGTTTTCATTTCTGATCTCCAGCATCCACAATGCTTTGCTTATAGTTCAGTAAGTTTAGAGGTTTGATTACCATGTCACTCTGCATTGAACTAGTTATTGTCAGCTCGGGTTACAACTGATCTTGGGTGATTAGGGTCAGGAAATCAAGAATGGGACCTTCCTTTTGATCATTTTTACAATAATCCATACCAATGTACAAGTGTCTGAATATGGAGTGAGCATGGCTTTGGGCTAAACTGCAATGTCTATACTTTGAACAAATGTTTATACATTACTAATTGTCACTTAAAGTAGAGGATGTCTGGCAGCTAAAGGACCAATCACAATGAGGAATCATTTCCTTCAGGATAGTAGTCAATAAAATTTTACGAGAAAGAACAAATATTTTCAGCATGTCCTCAAATACCTTAAATTGACATTTATTCCTCCCACGACACATGAGCCCTGAGGTCGATACTGTACATACATACTTATCTGTAGATATCTGTTAGATATTCCTACTCCACCGATGTCAATGTTGCTCTGATCCATATGAGTGTAAGAGTTGAAGATTTGTTTCTGAGTTAGTGTTCTTTGAAATACCAGCAAGTATTCTTCTAATTCACTCCTGGTTCTTGAACTGTGCTAGAAAATATACATTTGGAAATCCCAGGCAGGAGTAGGAAAACGATTCAATTGTAAAATCACCACTTTCCTGTTATAGTTTACCATCTAAGATCACATTTAAAAATAATCGCTTGAGTAAGATACCAGAGTGTGACTGGTAACTGTAGAACAATAACCAACATAAGGTGTCATTATTTTTGTTCCAATGACAGTTAAGACAGATAGGAGGATTTCATCCTTTGTGCCCAAATCATTTTTGATTTTAGTTAAATTCTAATTCAAGCCAGTCAGTGTTAACCAGAGTTAAATCATTTAAGTTTGTAAAACTTTAAAGCTAATTTTGGTCGATGGAATACTAAGCCCAACAGATCATCGTTTGCCTTATTTCAGCATATTATTATTCAACATAACTGTAATAAGTGATGTGGGAAATGTGGGTAACCACAAAACAATTAACTCTCATTGCTTGGAAACTCTTCGCATTTTCAAAATTCCCTTTAATTCCAATGATAATCAATTTGACAATTCAAAAAGGACCTCTGCCGCAAAACTGTATTAGTCATAGGATCCCAATAAATAAGGATTTCAGTTGGGATCTACAAGTAGAAATTGTGCCAATGTATTAATGAAGTAGATCACGTGTTTATGGCTCTTAGAGATTTTATTGGTTTCATTTCTATTATTTAAGCCAATGTTATGTTTTTTTTAATTTTTATTTATCCTGTGTTTATTTCTGCCAGTTGAGCACATCAATGGCAATTATATTTACAGGTCCCCACTGAGTATAAAAATACAAATTTACTTGTTTACTACAACATAGTTATGTTCATGTTTAGACCTACAATGAATTCTGGTTAAATCACAAGGAGTTTGCGGTGAGAAAGAAATCCTCTCATGACCTAATCCAGAGGTTCCCGAACTCTAACTTGTGACTCCCATGGGT